AATGCACATGGCAATTCTATGTTGCTTATAAACCTCCTCAGTTAGCAATCAAATTACTATTTTCTAATTAATTGCATTTCTTAGTTTCTACTTGTCAGTTGTTTCATATTCATCATCCTTTTGCCATTAGTTTCCATTTCTAAATGAATCATTCTAAGAGCAGAAAGTGAAAACATTGCTATTCCTCAAGCATGATTTCTTATTTTGTTGACATGAATGCATAGTAACTGCAAGTTTCTTCAAGCTGTTGTGGCATATTTATTTTTTAGTTGCCATGAGGTCATACACTTGGAGTTTTAAGATGACAGAAACTCCTGGTGGAGTTTTGAACACATTTAGCTTTTGTAATTCTGCTTCAGGCAGTAGCAGGCAAGTTAAACAATCACTGATTGACTTTTATTAACCGATTTGTAAGGCTGATAGGCTCAGGAATGCAAGCTATAGACAGATTCTTGAAATACAGCCGAGACAGGAATCTCACAGAAATTCCAAAAATAGGAGGTAATATTCTCCTTGCAAACTATTTTTTTTCCCTTAGATAATATTCTTTACTTTATAAGATATTATTCTTTTTCTGCTTTTTATTTGAAAAGTTCATCAATAAATCTATGATTATTAAAAAACCCCAAATTACCTATCACAGACTTAATTCCAAGCCTATGCTATTTTACATGAAAATAAACAAAAAAAAAGAATTCCCACTAAGGTAACTGAAGAGTTAAAGTTAAAATGTTAACTAAAGTAAAATTAGTGTAATGGTTTCTTTGGTATAAACTAGCTAGCAGCCCAGAAGAAGATGCTGCACAGTGGGACTCCTAACCTGTCCTTGGATTATCCCCAAGCTGTACTTGGCATGAATTTCTTTCCTGAGAGAGCAACTCCCTTCAACTCAATAAAGGGTTGAGAGGAAGGGGCCAGAGTTCCACCTTTCTCTGGGCTAGACACCTGTGCAGGGTGACTAGAAACACAGAAACACAGCCCTGCTATAGAACACATTCTCCCATCCCATGCTGGTTTTCATAGCTATCCCACATATACCATGAGCTCTCTTGGAGGATTAGAGCTGTACAAGCCAGTTCCTGATTGTATAAACCATAAGTTATGTGATATCACAGATTTGGATGCCTGTGCAATCTCAATTTTTTGTTTTAAAGGTTTGGTTTGGATTTATTAAATACATGGCATTTATTTAATTGCTAGATCAAATAAATTTCTGCTATGAATATATAGTTATCATCTAATATTCTAAGGAAAAAAGTGTAATTAATGATTTGGGGCTTATGTTTCTCTTTTATTTTTCATTTTGATGTCAAAAAGCATCTGTCATACAGCAAGCATTCCACATATCAGTCCTTAGATTGAAGCAGCAGTTCTGCAGTTTTGAAGAGCTTATAGAGACAGCCTCAGGACCTCTAAGTGCATTTACACAGTTGACACCAAACATATTAGTGGGATCGATGTCAATGATTAACATTCTTCTTAAAAAGAGAGGTACAGCAGGGTCTGATAACTCTAGTCTGTGTTCTCTGAACCAAAAGAACGCTCATGGTGGGTACTTCTTGCCACTTCCATGCAATTAAACTTTTGAGTAGTATTTCTTGGCATTGGAACACTACTGTTAAATGTCCACAGTGGAGTGGAACAGATAAAAAGAAAACCAGACAAATTTATCTAAGCATTTTCATTTATTGTTAAGATGACCTTGCTGATGAGAGGTAAAGACTCAAATTCTGTCCTTAACTGAATCAAAATGGAAACAGCACAGACATGAAAGCCCTCAAATTTATAGATATTTAAGCCTCCATCTCTTTCAAAATCAAAACTTGAAACCAGATCAAACTTAATTGCTGACATTTTTAGCATTTTTTTCCTTTTATTTGTCTAAAGAAAGCATCATGTGTGGCATACACTAGAGCTCACACAATTCGATATTTGACTGCTGGGAGCTGTAGGTACAGCAGGGATTCTCCACATCACTGAAATTATCTCTGAAATACACAGATAAAAAAATCTGTTATACTAATTTTTTTTTTTATTAAGCCAACTGTGTCACTTCCTAAAGAGCACTGTACAAAGATCTTGTAACACACAGTGAAAATGTATAGGTATCCAGTTATTTGTAAATAATATATCATACACAGTAATTACTACTGAAGTGTTTAATCATTTTAATAGGTCTCTTTTAATTCTGTCATCCTTTTGTGTTGATACAGGCTACAACTTCCAGCAACATTACTCCATGCTCTCACTAAAAACAGATCAGTTATAACATATCCTTTTAAGAAGTTTGAAATAAAATATGCTAAGTATATTAAAAATGTGCCAGGTATGTTACGCCGACTGCCAGATTCAATGCCAGTAAATTATCCTGTTTTGCAAGGCATTCCCTATTGCTATTCACTATGAGAATAAATTGCTAGCTTTCATTCATTCTAGGCTCTGGAGCCCAGTGATGGCAGCTCTGGGAAACAGCCTTTGGGCTGAGGGCTGTCCTCTTCATTTTTTGAATGTTCTCCACAAGGGATGGTTCATGGGATTGCTATCAGTATGCCCCAGGGCAAATGCCTCCTTCTGTGGGATGCTTCTAGGGAGTTGTTATCATTGGGCTCCAAATTTAACACCTCCAACCCACTGAAAATCTTTTATCTGTAGCTGTTATCAGTAGGCTTCACAGTTAAAATACCATCACCCAAGAAGGCTGTTTACTGGAATGGCTTTTTATTAAGTCTCCATAGTGAAAACTATGTCCCAAGTCTGGAGGAGCAGCCATCAGTAGGATCCAAAGCATCATCTAAACAAAACTTATTTGATAGCTTTGCACTGATGAGGACACAAAGGAAAGCAAGAGGAAAAAAATGAATGCAGATGATTCAGGTTAATGACACCAAGAACACAAGAACTGGAACTCATCAACTAATGCTGGCATTTCTAAATAATCCAACAAGAAATGTGATTAGCCAGCTACACTGATAATGTATTAGCTCTTGTCAGTCTTCTCAATATCTGCTTCACCTAAGGTAAGAGAACGAGCTCATATACAATTTTGTTAGTATATCAAAGACTGCAAGTGCTATGAAACTGCTGGTTATACTGCATGAGTACTTGACCAGTGGGAGAAAATTCCATCTGTGTGTGCCTTTGAAGTTTAAGTGCCCTTCACTACACAAATCAGCTTGTGTTAAAGGATTCTTATGTCTTCTAAACTGGTTTGCCACTCCACTGTTTTACCTCACCCACAGCATCTCCATTCAAATCACAATTCATATGCTTCAGAATGTATTTCCTAACTGATGCTACAATAACCACAGCCCATGTAGCACAGCAATGGAAGAAAAGCCATAAGGGTCTCAAACCATAAAAACCTGGAGACTGAAAAGCTTTAAGGGTCACTAAACAAAGCATGGGTAATGACTGGTATTACTGACAAAGAGTCAGGAAGTCTGGGGAAGGAAAAACCTAGCAGGAGAACTCATAGTGCAGGCATAGAGATTCAAACACTAAGGGCAAAATCAGAATAATGAAACTTTGTCCAACCCTTCCAGGGAAACCTTGAAAGAATTCATACGTTCCTGAGGCATCAACATTGCTTTAGGAAAATCCTGTTGACCATGAACTCCCAAAATAACCTGGAGAAGTGGGCATTAAAGAGAGAAAACTGCTTGAAGACATCAGTAGCATCTGAGGAGTGATGCAGAAACTGGCAGCCCTCAAATGGAGAGGCCAGAACAACTGATATTATTGATAGCTTTGCTCATTCCCTCCCCTCTAATAGTAAGCTCAGAGGACAGAGACCTTGAAAAAGTATCAAAAGGTACAAAGCACAAGCTGGGCATTGGACACTATCAACTTCCCAGCTCATTTCAGGGGATCTCCCATTGTAAATGACTGCAGGTGGAGTAAGTGGCAGTAACAGCTAACTCACAACATTTGTTCACCCCCAAAGAAGGGCATTCTTACATTACTGCTAAATAAGATTAAAAGCTCACTTATAGAGCCTGGACAGAAGCTGAGCCACATCAGCTGCTTTCTCACTCCTTTCCTGCCAGACCAGCAGTTAATGGAAAGGCCAAAGCAAAACAAGGGAGAAGTTTGAGAAAAAAACCTGTTTAATTCTTCTGGTTCTTGGGGAGGTTGTTTTTTCTCCTCTGGCTAAGAGGTGATGTCAAAAGGATTCTACCCTAGAATCTCAACCCTACGGGATGCGAATTAGAGTGGGCAGCTCTCAAAGATACTTTGAAGCAAAAGCCTCTGTCAGTTCTCCCAGCTCTACAGCAAGCAGTTCAGGCAGACACAACCCATTAGACAAATGCTCTGTGCTCAGGCACCACTGGACTAAAAAGGGCTGGGCTGGGTCTCTGGGAACATGGGGACAAAAGCAGCTCTGTGTGAGAACAAACTGGGGCTGCCCCACACCAGACTGAGCCAGTTCCATGGCAGGCCCATGCCCAACCCCAGAGGAGCTCTGCAGGCAATACGGCAGCGCTGCAGCACGAACAGCTTAAGGGTCTCAACATCACAGTGGGCTTTGCTCATCACTGGGAGAGAATGGCCCTTTGGGATGTCACCTGGTGATGGATGTCAATGTTGATGGATCCACCTAGCAATGGATTATGATGTCACCGAGGGGCTGGTGTCCCTCCCTGCACATCACCCAGTCAGCGCCACACTCCAACTGACCAAGTTCGCGTGCAGACGCGCCGGAGGCTACCACCCAGCCAGGCCAGCGCTGCGCTTCTCCACTGCTGCTGGCCTGGCAAAAAATCATTGCCTGAGGGCACAGCAGGGAGTTCTTGCTGCATCTGTGCTTCTAACTTGCTGCTTCTCTCCATTCCACCTTCTCCTCCATCTGCTACTCCTTGTTGCTCTTCACTTTCCTTCACCTTCTCTCGTGATGCTAGTTTGCTTTCTTCCTGCTCTGGGCTACAGGAAAGCTTTGTACCAGTGCTGTGTCAGGGAAGCCCTTTGGTAGCTCTCCAGTTTTTCCTGTAGTTTCTCTGGCCACCAGCATGGAGGGACCCTGGGTAGGCAACTGGCGACCTCATCCCCGACGGGGCCCAATCCTTGCAGAATTCAGCACCCCAGGTCCCAAGTACTGGCTCCCTGGGACAACAGGTAAACCAACTATCAGGGGACATAATAGCACAGCACAGTGCTTGTTACCACTTGGGAACCTCCTTTCACCACACAGTTGCAGGCACAGGTCCTTTCACAGGCTTTTCTTGCCAGGTCATATGGCTCATGATCCCACCAAAGACAGAGCCCCTGCATTCTCATTTCGAGGGACCAAAGCTCCCTCCACAGACACCTGCTCACCAGGTCCTCGGTACTTCATTGAATCCTCCATCACCAAGACTGGGAAGCAGATGGCTCCATCAGCACTTGTGACAGCACGTCCCAAGATCAGGATTTTGGCCACCCCTGGACCCAGTGAGTAGCATTTCTGCAGCCCTTCATCCAGGCCAGACAAGCAGGCCTTACTGTTGCCCTGTACCACTGGGGCACAAAGCACACTGCTCATGCCCTGAATGGGCTTCAGAGAGTTCCAGATGGAAAACAAGCAAGACTGAGAACCCCTTCCACCTCCTCCTGACTTCTCCTCTGTGGCTTGCAGTTACGCTCCCAGTTTCACTTCTTTTTTTTGTCTCCTTCTCTGTCCCAGGTGATTACCGCACGGATCGTGCCAACAAACTCGTCTTCCATACTGCACCGTCCAATCTCATGGTGTTCCGGCCCAAGGACTTGAAAAGATTCCGCACACCAGGTATGGAACTTGGGGAAACAAACACTCTTACAGCCTGCGTGTCCTCCAGGGAGCATCTGCAGCTTCTTCAACAGGCCCAGCAAAAAGCCTGGGCAGCAAGACACAGTGTGTGCTCAACAAGCTTTTAGCTGTCCCACAGCACCAACTTCTCCCATCTCACAGAAGAACCGGCACCTCTGGTGTCAAACAGCCAAGGCACACCACATGCAACAAAAGCCAGAGGCACCGGGATGAGGGGCAGGATACCCTTCCTGCTCCTCACAGCCAGCTTGGCAGGCTGACTCTCTTCCACCCAGGCATTGCACCCTTTCCCACAGGACTGACCTACGCTGTCTTCCTATTCCATTTCCAGGTCCTGGCACCTACACCTTGCCCAGGATTCTGGGACCCAACACAGCATACACTCATGCTGAACCATGCTACTCCATGAAGGGGAAGAGTCAATACCAGAGCTGTTTTCAAGATGTGGCAAAGGTGAGCTGCGCTTCTGTTCTCTAACAGCAGCACCAGAAGTTCAGCTGCTCTGCTTAGAGCAGAAGCCCAAGAAGCCACAGGGCCTCTGGCTCTGCTATTACCAGTAACACCGACACCTGAATCCCCCCATTTTTCCACACCAGCAGCTTTGGCACAGTACAGCTCACTGGCACTAACGGCAGTAATCTCCCCTCATCCTCTGGAAATCTACCTCTCTTCACAAGGAGCCCTCATTCCCAAGGCTCCAGGGCTCCCACACTGCTCCTCTGGCCAGCCACCTAAAGCAGCACAGTACTCATGGACACCCAGCAAGAATCCACACTGCTTCTTGTACCCACCAACCTCATTGCTTCTCTTGCAGACGCCAGGTCCTGCAGCATTTGACAAGGTGGATCTGGATGTCTACAAAAACAAGGCTCCCAGGTTCTCAATGGGACTAAGAACCAAAGTTCCTGGAAAGGGAGCGCTTCCAGGTCCAGCAGACTACAACACCCTGGGAAAGGTAAGGCAGCCTGCCTACCATTATGTTATGCTGCACAACCTTCACTTGAGGAAAACTGGAGAACGAGCCACCATCTTCACCTCTTTTCTTCCCCTTCCAGGTTGCACTGATCAAGGCCCGGGATCCTGCTTACACTTTTGGACTACGACATTCTCTCTACAAAGCTTCCATAATACCTGCAACACATGTTGATTAAAGACAGACAGACACCTGAAGAGATCTTTTTTTTGTTCCTCCTTTGCAGCAGAGTGGGTTAGGTGTGCATTGGTGTAGACCACTGGCTTCACTGTCTCATGTCTATGCCTCAGTCAAAACATGGCAGGATGAGGGTGAGGGGAGAGAGTGAGGTAACAGCGTGAGCCATGCTGACATCTCCAAGACCACCATTTCACCTAACCAGAGCAAAACACTGTGAAAGCTTTCCAGCCCTGCCTTGCACACTCTCACCCCATGGCCCATGCTGGCCTCAAGGACAAAGCCCATTTCAATGTTCCCCTTTTCAGTGCACATAGGTGGCATCTGCCCAAGGTGTGCCCAGAAACACATATGCCCTGCATCCTCTCTTGACACAGGCAGGGGCTCATTTCCACAGGCAAGTCCCCAGAACACTGAGAGTTAAGGAGAAAGAACCATTATTCCCAGTCTGAAAATGGAATCACCATAGAATCCTGCAACAGCCCAGGTGGGAAGGGACCTTGGAAGGGACCTCATCCAGCCCTTGTGCAGAAGAGGCAGCCTGGAAGAGACTAGCCAGCACCTAGCCAACTGCAAACTTGATTGTGGCCAGTGATGGGACTCTACTGTCTCCCTGGGGAGCCTGTTTCTCCTCTCTGGCTAAGTGGTGATGCCAAAAGGATACAAAATCCCCTGATTACTGGGGAACAAGGTGGGAATTGTTGGAGTGGGCAGCTTTTTCAGGCGCTCCAAGGCAGGAGCCTCTCTCAGCTCTGTGACCTGCACTTCAGTCTACTCAGCCTCTTACAATTACAGTGATAAAATAATTTAATAATAAAAAAAACAAAAGTGTTACTATGATTACAAGTAGAAAACCCTGAAGCATATGTTATATGAATGTTAGGAGTGCTGTTTTTAAAGTATTCAGTCAGAGAAACCTTATCAAGAAGTTACCATGTATCATGTGCCTTGTTCAAGAAACTATGCAAATTGTCATGAACACCAGTTAGTGTGCTTGGAAAACCCTTCCCTTCCCATCCTAATTTGACTATCAAGGATTCCAATCAGTAGATCTCAGTAGATATGGCCAATTATAGTCTTAGGGTAGGAATATTATTGTAGTTATAGAACTAGTGAAACCAATCATTGTACAGGTTACACTTAAGAATGGGTAGATGATGTATACCATGTAAAAGAACTTATGTAAAAATGACACAGCAGAAAAAGCATATAAAATGGATGAATTTTGTTTGCAAATCAGAACAAAACTGGAGGAGTAATCCCCCTTTTTCCTGGCACTGAAATACAGAAGTGTCTCCTTGTTCACAACAAATTGGTGTTGGATAAGTTTATTTCACACTGTTTGGTGAAAAAATCCCGGCACTCAGGCACCACTGTACTAGAAAGAGCTGGGCTGGGTCTCTGGGAACATGGGGACAAAAGCAGCTCTGTGTGAGAACAAACTGGGGCTGCCCCACACCAGACTGAGCCAGTTCCATGGCAGACAGGCCCATGCCCAGCCCCAGAAGAGCTCTGCAGGCAATACGGCAGCGCTGCAGCACGAACAGCTTAAGGGTCTCAACATCACAGTGGGCTTTGCTCATCACTGGGAGAGAATGGCCCTTTGGGATGTCACCTGGTGATGGATGTCAATGTTGATGGATCCACCTAGCAATGGATTATGATGTCACCGAGGGGCTGGTGTCCCTCCCTGCACATCACCCAGTCAGCGCCACACTCCAGCTGAGCAAACTCGCGTGTAGATGCGCTGGAGGCTATCCCCAGCCAGGCCAGCGCTGCGTTCTACGCCAACAATTGCAGCCTGAGGGCACAGCAGGAGTTCTTGCTGCATCTGTGCTTCTAACTTGCTGCTTCTCCCCATTCCTCCTTCTCTTCCATCTGCTACTCCTTGTTGCTCTTCACTTTCCTTCACCTTCTCTCGTGATGCTAGTTTGCTTTCTTCCTGCTCTGGGCTACAGGAAAGCTTTGTACCAGTGCTGTGTCAGAGAAGCCCTTTGGTAGCTCTCCAGTTTTTCCTGTAGTTTCTCCAGCCACCAGCATGGAGGGACCCTGGGTAGGCAACTGGCGACCTCATCCCCGACGGGGCCCAATCCTTGCAGAATTCAGCACCCCAGGTCCCAAGTATGGGCTCCCTGGGTTAACAGGTAAACCAACTATCAGGGAAGGTAGTGGCAGCAGGAGACACAGCACAGTGCTTGCTACCACTTGGGAACCTCCTTTCACCACACAGTTGCAGGCACAGGTCCTTTCACAGGCTTTTCTTGCCAGGTCATATGGCTCATGATCCCACCAAAGACAGAGCCCCTGCATTCTCATTTCGAGGCAGCAATGCTCCCTCCACAGACACCTGCTCACCAGGTCCTCGGTACTTCATTGAATCATCCATCACCAAGACTGGGAGGCAGGTGGCTCCATCAGCACTTGTGACAGCACGTCCCAAGACCAAGATTTTGTCCACCCCTGGACCCAGTGAGTAGCATTTCTGCAGCCCTTCATCCAGGCCAGACAAGCAGGCCTTACTGTTGCCCTGTACCACTGGGGCACAAAGCACACTGCTCATGCCCTGAATGGGCTTCAGAGAGTTCCAGATGGAAAACAAGCATGACTAAGAACCCCCTCCACCTCCTCCTGACTTCTCCTCTGTGGCTTGCAGTTACGCTCCCAGTTTCACTTTTCTTGTCTCCTTCTCTGTCCCAGGTGACTACACCACGGATCGTGCCAACAAACTCGTCTTCCATACTGCACCGGCGAATAGTCTGGCATCCCGACACAAGGACTTAAAAGGTTTCCGCACACCAGGTATGGAACTTGGGGAAACAAACACTCTTACAGCCTGCGTGTCCTCCAGGAAGCATCTGCAGCTTCTTAAACAGGCCCAGCAAAAAGCCTGGGCAGCAAGACACAGTGTGTGCTCAACAAGCTTTTAGCTGTCCCACAGCACCAACTTCTCCCATCTCACAGAAGAACCGGCACCTCTGGTGTCAAACAGCCAAGGCACACCACATGCAACAAAAGCCAGAGGCACCGGGATGAGGGGCAGGATACCCTTCCTGCTCCTCACAGCCAGCTTGGCAGGCTGACTCTCTTCCACCTAGGCATTGCACCCTTTCCCACAGGACTGACCTACGCTGTCTTCCTATTCCATTTCCAGGTCCTGGCACCTACACCTTGCCCAGGATTCTGGGACCCAACACAGCATACACTCATGCTGAACCATGCTACTCCATGAAGGGGAAGAGTCAATACCAGAGCTGTTTTCAAGATGTGGCAAAGGTGAGCTGCGCTTCTGTTCTCTAACAGCAGCACCAGAAGTTCAGCTGCTCTGCGTAGGGCAGAAGGGCCCCAGTGCCTGCTGTATCCCCACATAACACACACTTCCCTGCACCTGCAGAAAAGAACAAGAAACCACAGGGCCTCTGGCTCTGCTATTACCAGTAACACCAGCAACTGAACCCCCCCCCCCCCCCCATTTTTCCACACCAGCAGCTTTGGCACAGTACAGCTCACTGGCATTAATGGCAGTAATCTGCCCTCTGGGAAATCTACCTCTCTTCACAAGGATCCCTCATTCCCAAGGCTCCAGGGCTCCCACACTGCTCCTCTGGCCAGCCACCTAAAGCAGCACAGTACTCATGGACACCCAGCAAGAATCCACACTGCTTCTTGTATCCACCAACCTCATTGCTTCTCTTGCAGACGCCAGGTCCTGCGGCATTTCCCAAGGTGGATCTGGATGTCTACAAAACCAGGGCTCCCAAGTTCTCAATGGGACTAAAAACCAAAGTTCCTGGAAAGGGAGCACTTCCAGGTCCAGCAGAATACACCCTGGGAAAGGTAAGGCAGTCAGCCCATCAATGTGTTTTGCTGCACAACCTTCACTTGAGGACAGCTCTGGAGAGTAAGGCATCATCTTCACCTCTTTTCTTCCCAATTTCCTGTTCCAGTTGTCAATAACCAAGGCCCGGGATCCTGCCTTCAGTTTTGGAGTCCGACATTCTCTCTACCAAGCTTCTTTAATACCTGAAACACATGTTGATTAAAGACAGACACCTGAAGAGATCTTTTTTCTGTTCCTCCTTTGCAGCAGGGTGGGGTTAGGTGTGCATTAGTGTAGACCACTGGCTTCACTGTCTCATGTCTATGCCTCAGTCAAAATATGGCAGGATGAGGGTGAGGGGAGAGAGTGAGGTAACAGCGTGAGCCATGCTGACATCTCCAAGACCACCATTTCACCTAACCAGAGCAAAACACTGTGAAAGCTTTCCAGCCCTGCCTTGCACACTCTCACCCCATGGCCCATGCTGGCCTCAAGGACAAAGCCCATTTCAATGTTCCCCTTTTCAGTGCACATAGGTGGCATCTGCCCAAGGTGTGCCCAGAAACACATATGCCCTGCATCCTCTCTTGACACAGGCAGGGGCTCATTTCCACAGGCAAGTCCCCAGAACACAAAGTTAAGGAGAAAGAACCATTATTCCCAGTCTGAAAATGGAATTACCATAGAATCCTGCAACAGCCCAGGTGGGAAGGGACCTTGGAAGGGACCTCATCCAGCCCTTGTGCAGAAGAGGCAGCCTGGAAGAGACTAGCCAGCACCTAGCCAACTGCAAACTTGATTGTGGCCAGTGATGGGACTCTACTGTCTCCCTGGGGAGCCTGTTTCTCCTCTCTGGCTAAGTGGTGATGCCAAAAGGATACAAAATCCCCTGATTGCTGGGGAACAGGGTGGGAATTGTTGGAGTGGGCAGCTTTTTCAGGTGCTCCAAGGCAGGAGCCTCTCTCAGCTCTGTGACCTGCATTTCAGTCAGACTCAACCCATTAGACAAAAGCCCCGTGCTCAGGCACCACTGAACTGGAAAGGGTTGTGCTGTGTGTCTGTGTGTGGGGAAGAAGCAGGTCTTTGTGAGGACAAAGTGGGGCTGCCCCACTGGGGCTGTCTGAGCCCTTTCCATGGCAGCCCCATGCTCAGGCCCAGCGGAGCCCCGCAGGTATTGCGGCAGC